GGAAGGGGAAAAAAATAAGAACCAAGATACTCATGTAAAGGTACAAGATCCCAATGATGAATGTAACTGTATTTTATACCGAAAATGTACCAATAAACTTAATGGGGAAAAAAAAAAAAATTAGAGGAGTTCTGTTAACAGTCAGCCTAAGAAATCTTTGAAGAAATGGAATAAATCTTATTTCAGTATGGTACTTGAAGTACCACAAAGGGGATCTGTGGCAATCTTGGGGAGTACTTAATAGAGTACTGCTTCTCTATTCAAAAACAAGTAAACTGAAGTGCAGATCTTAAGTGCCTTGTTCCCAGTCACAGAGCTAGAAAGAGAAAGTGTTAGGACTCAAATCTAATCTTTCTATCCCTTAGTTCACCTCCCTATGTTGTCTCACTGCAGAAGTGAGGACGTGAGAAACAAGAAAGGGCAAGAAGCAGTATTGAGGAGTCAGGTTCTTCTTTTGGAGACTGGGTCTCACTATGTTGCTCAGGTTGACCTTGACGCTCCTGAGTTCAAGCAATCCTCCCACCTCGGATTCCACAGGAGTACAGACAAGCTCCGATTCATTTAATTTAATGCCCAGCTCAGATTCATTTAATTAGGAAACATTTTACATCTCTCCAATGTTCTCCATTTTATACTGAGAAGCACTGTTACCCTTTTAACTACTACATATCTACCTGTCAGCAGTAGCACACCTCCACTGCATAGTCTGAAGGATGCTTTCCCTGAAAGGGTTAAGAAACACCTTTTTTTCAGTACCAAAAATCGAACTCAAGACCTTGCGCTTGCAAGGCACACACAGCGCCACTGAGCTAAATCGTTGGCCCCAAGTTAAGAAATATTTGAAGTGAGTTCCAAGGACACCCTCTTCTGTACTAATAGAGGTTCAACAGACTCTACCCTTGTTTAAGGATAATGTGTTTCTCCTTTCTGTAAAAGAGCTTCTTCTCTTGTTAAGTCTTTAAACAATTTTCATTCTATTTTGCATCCAGCCGAATGTTTGGCTTGAATATTTTACTTTTAAAATATCACTTAAGGTTAACGGGGAAACTACACGCAGAAGCATACACCAACCAGGACTAGGGAAGGTACAACCATGAACAACAAAGAGCCTTACCATCGGTGCCTCTGTGCATGTACCCACTGACAGGAGGCATAAGCTGCTGATGACTGCCTGCCTCAGAGTTGCTGTAGCCTTCCTGTGGCTCAGACAGTGTTCCTTGAGAAGACAAGTAGCTGGGAATGTCTGCAGGCAGATTGAGCTCCTCTGTAAAAAGAAACGTCTGTGACTCTCTGGGTAAGCAGCTGAAGCTAGCACTCACAAGACTATTTTGTAAATGTGTTCCATTGTGATACAACTGCTCAGGGAAATGGTATGGACTTAAAACCCCACAAGCTGTTCATACTTTCCCTAAAACTACTTTACACTAGAGTTCTCAGTTTCACTTTAGGACTATGACCAGGACTGGGGATGTATAGCTCAGCGTACAGCACTGGCCTAGCTTGCACAGGCCCTGGGTTCAATCCCCAGTAGTAAAAAAAAAAGCGGGGGGGGGGGGGGATTTACCAAAAGAAACAAAACCTGAAGGTTGAAGTTTATCTAGAGCCACATGTGCACAATCTGACTGGATCTCTTCTCTTGCAGATTTCAGTAAGAGGGCTACAAGACTGACTTAAGTCATAAGGGCTCTACTCTTCCCTGCAGCAAAATTGTGGAAATGAACCTTAGGCATTACACTTTGCTGCTAGCTTGAACCACTGGTGCCACACGCATGACTGAACCGTCCAATGGGACTGTCCTATGCTACCCGATGGGACGGTCATGCATTAACCACCAATGGTTCAAGCCAGAGGTAACAAGTAACACACTCAAATCAGTGCTGCCAGCAGTGAGACATATGAATCACTGTCCTTGTTGTGGACATGTTAAATAAAGCAGGTGTACATGTAACAGTTAGAAGAGCACAGCTTAGAGAGAGTATTCAATTCTTAAAATAGCTCTAAAAATAGGTCCTATCGGGCTGGGGATTTAGCTCAGTGGTTCCGCCGCCTGCCTCGCAAGTGCAAGGTCCCGAGTTCGATCCCTGGTACCAAAAACATAAACATTAAAAAGATAATCTTTAAAAAAAAAAATAGGTCCTATCAAGGAAGTGAGCATTTTAACAGAAAAACTTCTTTATACCTCCTATCAGATAATGTACTATATAGTTCCTCAGTGTTATTTATTTTTCCAATTTCTATACTACATTTTAACTCAAGTACAAACCACAGGTGTCATCTGGATACCACTCACCTGTGTTTGTGATGCTATAGTCTTCATTTTTCCTTCTCATGTGGTAAATAACAATGACCCAGATCAAAGAGGTGCCCACAACACAGCAGACCACAACAATGATGACAATGCCAACTGTGGTCCAGCCATCATCTTCATGCCCAATGCTACTCTGAGAGGAATCACAGTTGGGGGATGAAATGACATGTAGGTAAATGTGACCGCGTTCTGTCCCAAGAGTGTTAGACATAATGCAAGTGTATTTCCCAGCATCTTCTAGCCCAGCATCCACAATGATGAGAAGCTGGTTGGCTGCAGCAAAGAAGTGTCGTTCTGTCACCAGCAGCGGGCCATCATCTTTAGTCCAGTTGAGGCGAGGGGCGGGACTCCCTCCAGCTATACACTGTAACACGGCTGTTTCACCCCGGGTTACTGTCCTGTCTTCCAGAGGCCTAATAAATGAGGGTGTCTCTAACAAGAAATCATTATAAAAAATCAAGTTAGGCAATTTTATTCCCTAAATCCTATTGAATTAGACTACTGAAGCTATGATGAAATGAGTATTTTCATATACTCATGGGAAGCTGGAAAAGTAATGTTTCAGAAAAATAAAAGCCTCAAACTACAAAAACCTAAATCTGAGCCAGTAATTATGGCACTGCCAATTTTTTTTATTTTCAAAAATGCATTAATGTATAGAGATACCAAGAAATCGTCTATCATGATATTCACTTAATTGTTTTCATCTGTCTCTGGGAGTGAGATGCTGAACATATCTTTCTGTTTAAGACAGAAACTTAACTTGTGTTATTATAAAATGTTTCTAGGTGAAGGAAATTAAGAATGGCTTTAAGTATGTGAGGTGGTAGGTATGTTAATCAGCTTGATTCTAGTAATCATTTAACAACATATATGTGCTTCAAAATGTGATACTGTAAAAAAAAGATACTGTATACCTTAAATATATATGGGTTTGTTAATTATACCCAATAATTTTTTTTTGGGGGGGGGACCAGGGATCGAACTCAGGACCTTGCGCTTGCAAGGAAGGCACAGTGCCACTGAGCTAAATCCCTAGCTCTCAATATTTTTTTTTTAATTGGAACTCCAGGAAAAAAAATAGAGGGTTATGAGAGGCGCACTGGAAGGAAAATAGAAAATCTAATCAGAAGACAGATAACATTTTTTGTATTATTTTAATTAACCAGGGAAAAAACAAATTTGTTCTAGTTTCTCTGTGAATCAGTATATGAAGCAACATCAAAGAGCTGGGATTCTTTTAAGAAACACAGCAGAACTTTCAATACAAGTTCACTGGATAGTAGAAAAATATATACGAAAACCTTACAGAGGTAGACATACAAGAATAAAGTGATACAGTGTTTTGAATTTTTAATTCATGTGATAAAGATCCCTAGTTTTGACCTCAACATTTTCCCGGAGTTCAAATATCTGACCCACTGATGTCCTAAGCTGATATAACCCTTCCAAAAGTGGCAAAATCACAACAAAGGTAAGAATCATGACTGAAACCTCTGAATGATTTTTCTCGCCCATAAAGACAACAGCAAGTCTCAGTGGCGCCAAAAACTCAGACACCCTTAAAAAGCAGTAAACGTACCTAGCACTATTAGTGAAGCATTTGCTGAGAGGCCTCCTGCTATGTTTTGTGCCATGCAGCTATAGATTCCCATGTCTTCTATTTTCACGTTGGCAATGAAGAAGACATCATCCTCTGGCATGACGTGCATCCGTCTTTCTCGAGCAGCGGGAAAGTCAGTGCCACCATCTTTCTGCCAGGAAATTTGAGGTGCAGGGTGCCCCTCTGCAGCACATTCTAATCTGGCCATGGCACCAGTGCGAATAGTTAGGTCCATTGGAGTTTTCAGGAAAGATGGCATCTCTGTTTCAAGAAAGATCATCAAGCGAAAGTAGGCAGAAGGGAACACACACACACACACACACACACAATAACAATCATTATAACACTCCATTTCTCAGAGAACACATATTTTCTGAAATAACAGTGAAGATGGCTTTAGAGACTATCTTTTCTCCCTGAACCTCAGAATGTGACACCTAACTCTTCCAGAATGTATAGCATGACTATCTGATTATCCTGATGGGAACAGAGAAACCAAAGGCCATAAGCCTTACTGAACTCTGTATTTGAAAATTTGATACTTAATGGTACTCTCTCATGAAGCTATACAGCACTTCTCAAACTAACATCAACACAGTTGCCAAGGGAAATGGATGTTTTAAAAAAAAAATTATGCCTTTAAAAGAATACCATTAAAAACTCAGAAGCAGCTGGGCATGGTAGTGCATACCTATAATCTCAGCACTCGAGAGGCTGAGACAGGAGGATTGTTGCCTTGAGCTACATAGCTCAAGGCCAGCCTAAACTGCAAAGCAAGATCCTGACTCAAAAACATAAAAGCACAGAAGCAAGACCCATCTTTTGGGTGTATAAAGCCTGAAATGTTGAAGTTACTCAGTCCAACAGGCAATAAATCAAGCAGCTTTGAAGAAGTTTTGCAGCCACAGGAAATAAGAGCATTAATTTTTAAAATGATTCTGTGTAAATACATTTAATGATAACTGGACCCAGAAATATCCTAAATACTCTATTATTAGAAGGCCCTGTGTACAATATCAGGAATTTCAGTTTTCAGAGAATTATGGTTTTAGAAAATTAAGAATATCAAAAGAAGGTTCCCAAAAGCACAAAATGCAAGGAAAAGAGCTCGTCTCCTAGGGTCATGGAATTTACCTCTTAACCAAAGATCACTTATGGATGATAAGTAGATATATGAGCTAATCCAAACCCCACCCACTCTACACATCAAAACTCAAAAAACAATTAACAGTAAGATTTCCCCCCCTCAAATGGCAGGCTTACTCCAATTTTGGGGGGCAAGTGATTTTAAAACTGATCATGAAAACCCCTTCTAAACTAAAAAAAAAAATTATATAGATATAGATATAGATAGATAGATACATATAGACATCAAGGAAAAAGCCAGGCATATTAGCACATTGCCTATAATCCCAGCACTTGGGAGGCTGAGGCAAGATAATCACCTGAACTCCATAGTGAGACCCTGACTCAACAAAACAAAACAAAATATCAAGGAGAATAATTCCTTACCATTCACAGTTAGTTTGGCTTTCTGAGAATAATTGGAACCAAAGTGATTAGTAACAATACACTGATATTTTCCTTCATCTGTGAAATTCACATTGAAAAGATGTAAGATACTAGTATGTTCCAGAGCTTCTCCAGCTCGCTGCTGATAACGAACAAAATTCTCAATATCCACGTCATATAGGATTTCACTGTCTTTGCGCCACACCGTGGACATCGGCGAATCACTGCTGCTCACTGCAGTACAGGTCAGCGTCACATTAATACCCCGTAGAGCAACTGTGGTTTCAGGATGTATCCTTATCTGTGGCTTTAGAAAATCATCTGAGAAGAAAAATGCAGCAGTAGCCAAGTCACTTATTTATTTTTGCTTCTTAAAGTCCAGTTTTAAAACAAATACTGTGAAACTGTGAGTTCTGAAAACAGATCGGCAATATTAAGGGTGAAGGAGACCACAGAGCTACCACCTAATACCCTTGTTTAAAGATGGGGAAAACAGGGCCAGGGATTTAGCTCAGTATTTTCACCACCTGCTGCAAGAACCTGAGTTCGGTCCCTGGTACCAAAAAAAAAAAAAAAAAAAATGGGGAAAACAGGGCCAGGGATTTAGCTCAGTTGTGCTATGCCTATCTCCCAAGCACAAGGTCCTGAGTTCCATCCCAGGTACCAAAAAAAGAAAGATGAGGAAAATGAAGGCCAGAAAAATCAAATGGCTTGCTCAAAGATATTAAGTCAGCGGTGAACATGGTCTGAAACTTCCAAAATAGTGAAAAGTTCCAAACATAGCAAATGTACAACTGAAGATCGGTTTAGGACTGGCTAATAAACGCTAGATTCATAAAGAAAATGTTGCTGAATTTATTCAGAGAAGAAGGTTTATGAATTCTTAACTAGCATCTTCATTGGATAACATTTCACTGTGCTACAAAAGTTGTAAGCAGAAATGGAGGATAAAATTGGTACACTTATCTACACTTAGAACGATGAATGACAACATAAGAAGAATCTATCTGCATTAGATTCTTTGTTTCCTTCTTTAAGATTTGTAAAAATTATGGAAGTAGAAACAAAGGTCCATGGGCTTCAACTTCCAAGTGTTCCAAGTTATCTTTAGGTGGACTGTGAAAACAAGATTTGGCAATCTACAAGTACTCACATGGATAGAGATCCTAGTGGCGCAAAAACATACACTAAAAGCTGTATAGTTGGTCCTCCCTACCCATGACCTCCACATTCAATTTAACCATCTGCAGACTGAAAACAGTAGGGGAAAAACTGTGTTTGTAATCCAGCATAGACAATGTGTACCCTGTTTTAGTGTAACTGTTTTATGTGTTTCATATGGTTTTTGGTTTGTTAGTCTGGCTGTTAATCTGTATGTACAATATTAACTTTACAAGGAATTATAAAATAAATGAATCTGATGCTGGTAAAAAAGGGAGGGAAAGGGGGAAAAAATTGAGTAGTGTTATATACATGTGCCAATTCCCCACAGTGAATATAATCATTATGTACTGCAAACATGTATTAATAAAACTTTTTAAATTCTGTTGTAATAAAAATTGTAGAAGGGCTGGAGATTTAGCTCAGTTGTGCTGTGCCTGCCTCACAAGCACAAGGTCCTGAGTTTGACCCCCAGTACCAACAAAACCAAACCAAATTTATCCAAAGATTTTAGAAACAAAAATACAAACCACAGACGAAATCTTCTAGATCCACATTCAGGATGCTTTCCCCTGCCAGCCATTCAGGATGTGCACAGCTTACATTTACAGAATGATGAAGGTTATTATCAACCAGCCACTGAAGTAACCATTTCAAATGACAGTCACAGAGCAAACTGCTTGTGTTCAGAATCCTGCAGAAAAGAGGAAAATTACCTTTTGTTTTCCTTTTCATTCTAAGTTTCCTTATCATCAAAACCTGGTTACAAATTTATACATTTTTCTCACCAAATTTTTTTTGTTTAATTTTAATCTAATTATAAAAAAAGTTCAGGCTGTCATCCTCAATTCTCCAAAAGTGTCAATGTCATGAAAAAAATCAAAAAGGGGAAAACAAGGGCATTTTAAAGAAGGCTAAAGAAACATTACAACCAAATATAACATATGGTTCTTGATTAGGAAAAAAAAATCTATAAAGGACATTACTTGACAATGGGAAATCTGAGTATGGAATATTAGATGTTATTATTTTCTCAATGTTATGTCCCTAGGTATGATAATGGTGATGTGGGCATGTACTAAAATGGGCAGGTGGACCCTATTCTTAGGAAATATGCAATGTGACCGAAGTACACAGTAAATATTTACATTTATAAATTTATTACAGTAACAGACACTCTGCCCATCAGACTCCTCAAAATACTTCCCCTCACTCTGAACGCACTTATTCCATCACCTTGCCACTCTCTGGAGATGTTTTGTAAGTCCCCTTTCAGGTCTTTACAAAGTGTGACCAAAAACATAGTGAATGCCACTGCTGAGTGCCAACCAAGAGAAAGGCAGGCTTACAAAAAAGATTACGGTGTGTCCTCGTGTGCCTTACGCACCAGACCTGGCACTGTGTGACTTCTGGCTCTTCCCCAAGTGGAAATAACCATGAAAGGTGATTGTTTTGAATCAATTCTGGACATCGAGGCAGCAACAAAGCCTCAACTAAGGACAGAGAAGAGGATTTCCAGAACTGCTTCAGAAAATGGCAAGCATGGGATAGATGTGTTTGAAGCAAGGTGGAGGATTTTAAGAGGGATTAATGGCAATGTCTTTAATAAATTTTTTAGAAGTGTAGACATTCACTACATTTTTGATCGCGCTGGTACACAATGAGATACTGGTGTGACATGTCACCTACAACTTTTAATGGTCAGCCAAACAAAACAAAAACCACCAACATGTATGTATATATGCATGAGTGTAGGGAAGAGAACAACAGTGAAAGTGGGAGCCAGAGAGATAAAAAGTGTGGAAGGGAAATATAAACCCAGCAAATAGTTAACAACTGATATATCTAGGTAGGCATATGGGTATTCATTGTATCTCCCTTTAAATTTTTGAAAAGTTGAGAGCAAAAGCTGCTTACTATATATTTTAGAAAGAAATCTTCGCTATAGTGAGTAAAACTTTTTAGCCCTGTGACAACGTGTACTTCAACTTAAGACTGAGAGGCATTAAGTATTTGAGGTCTATAAAACATACCTAAAAAATCAGTGTTTTCACTCCATAACCCCTTAAATGTTCTGTCCACTTAAGAGTAGAAAAGCCAAATGATTCTGAAAACATTGTAACTTGTTTTGTATGCAGGTTCAAAATCTTCATCTAGTTTGAGAGTTCAGTATAAAGGTATATAAACTGTGGCTCCACCGAAGTTTCAGTCTTTTCTTTTTTGCAGTACTGGGGATCAAACTCAGGACCTTGTGGTTGCTAGGTAGATGAGGCGCCACTGAGCTAAATCCCCAGCCCAGAAGTTCCAGTCTTTAACAGTACCTCAAAGCCATAGAGTAGTACCTTGGTACATGGCATTAATGGTTCCAGGAGGTACAACAAGCAACCAAACTGACAGGTACCAAACAAGCTGTTTTGGCTGGAAAGGGCTGTAAGTCACAGGCAATCGAGTAACAATGAATATAGGGGCCAAGTAGTCAAGTACCAAGGTATGACTGTAATTTGTCCAGGGCAATTTTACTTAAACCAGCAAAAATTATCTTTTGCATTTAAGAATTCTTCAGTTTCATTCATTTATAGAGAAATATTTGAGAGTGGACTGCTATATGTTAGGCACCATTATAGGCCATAGAGACAGCTCTCAGAGAGCTTGTATATGTGGACCAAGCAAGCAATAAACAAACACAGCCTGTTACAGCTTGTATCTAGAGGTCCCCCAAGTCACAGGGAATTTCAAAGGTGGCTGGATTAGATGCTGGGATTAAGGATGCCCCACCCAGGGTGTGGTTGGCACCACAGGTAGCCTGGATAGAATATAAAGAGACAGAAAGAAGCTGCTTTGGTACTTGCTGACTGCTGTCTGCTCTGCCGAGCCATGGACTGCTTCTCTTCTGTGAAGCCCCTTTGCCATGTTACACTGCCTTAGAGGCTAGCCAACCATGACCTGAAACCTCTACAAACTGTGAGCTTTTTCCCTTTAACTTGGGAGTGTCAGGTATTTTGTCTCAGCAATGAGGAAAGTAACTAAGACACAGCCTTTTTCTGTTTTATTTTTTATTTTGAAATAGCGTCTCAGTGAATTTACAGGCTGGCCTTGAACTTGTAATCCTCCTGCCAAAACTTTTCAGTAAAAGAATGCACTAGAGGGACAGGGATTTAGCTCAGTGGTTCCATCACCTGCCTCGCAAGCGCAAGGACCCGAGTTCGATCCCTACTACCAAAAAAAAAAGAATGCACTGGAGTTCCTGCAACAGTCATTATGTTTGAAGCAGCTGTTAGAGGAAAAAAATTGAGAAGTACTTGTTAAAGCACTGTTACCAAGATGCGTCATGTAAAGGTACAAGCTCCCAATGAGAAATGTAAATGTGTTGTATACCTAAAATGTACCAATAAAAGAATTTAAGAAAGAAAAAAAAAAAGAAAAAAGCACTGTTAAGCACAATATGTGCAAGGAAGGAAGAGACATGTCTTTCTTTCCATGGAACAAGGCAAGTCCTTTTATTCTGTCACCTTTTGTTCAGTAGGACCAGCTCAATCATCAACTGGCACCTGCTTGTAAAGGTAATTTACTAGGTGTATGAACAATCAAGACATTTAATGAGGGGTACTTCTATGAAAATAAAAGAAAAAAAGGTTAACAAAACAAAAGATAAATTCAGTTATTAAGTCCAGAGGGTATTCACACAAAAAGTTAGATGTTCAACTCAAAAGCATCTTCAGATGGAATTAGGAGCGCTGAGGATTTAGCTCAGTGGTTCTGCGGCCTAGCCCGCAAGCACAAGGACCCGAGTTCAATCCCCAGTACCAAAAAGCAAAACAAAACAGATGGAATTAGGACAATCAGGGCAATCTGACAGATTTTCCTGGTTCACAGTGTAAGTATCTCTGGTAATGCACCCTGGAGTACAGGTGAACTTTCTGAGCACTCCACACAGCAACAGGCATGAAGGTCGACTGTACATATCTGCTATGGTGATTTCTCTGAAATTTCTCTGGAGTCATCCAGCTTCGGTGTACAGGGATTTAGGAAAAAGGTCATTTTAGTTATGCCAAGTCAGGAGGGTGGTAAAAAACTGGAAATAACAGCTTGGAGAGTTGTAGCCAGATATTAAGAGGAAACTAGATTAGAATCTTGGTAAAGACTAGCAAAATGTGTGTGACAGAAGCCACAAAGGTACAATACAGTTTTCCACTGAAACAAAGATTTTTCTCTCTACAATCACCCCTCCCCACCACTTTCCATTCCTGATTACAAAATAAATCTAGTCTTATTAGACTTGGTCTGATTATTTGCATTAGTGCAACAAGAATGGCAACTGACCAGAGTCCTATTTGAATTTGCATTGCTATAACTTTTGAAAGAAATCTCAGAACACTCCCTCCTTTTTTGTATGGGGCCACATTCTTGCTAGGCAAGCACTCTATCACTGAGCTACATCCTCAACCCTTTATTTTGAAACAAAAGTCTAAGTTGCCTACACTAGCCTCAAACTTGCAATCCTCTTGCCTCAGCCTCCCAAGTAGCTGAGATTACAGGTGCATAGCACCACAGCCGGCTTCTGGTTACATTTTTGAAAGTATCTCAGAGTTACAAAGCCAAGCCAGGGATTTGCCACCAAACTTTACTTTCAGTACTATAAGTTTGAAGGAATTCTTCTCTTCTTGAGGTTCTCAAAACATTCTGAAGCTTCTTTGCTCACTTGTAAGGTCTACATGAGGTGGTGAATCTACACCACATGTTCCTCAGTGAGGCTGCTTGTATCACTGAAAGCTCTAACTGGTTCGCCATCACTGGCCTAGAATAAACACAAAAGGAAAGTATAAAGCTAGATTTTCCAAGGGGGCTCTTAAAAGCACTGGCATCTCAAGGTCAATCTTAGTTCTTTAAAACTAACTGGTCACGCTTAATTTTATACAACATTCTTAAATATGACATTCCAGCTAAAGCCTTGGTAATAAAACCAGTGTTTCCAACTGTGTCCTCTTGCAAGAATATATTCCTACTGAACGTATGTAAATAACTACACTGCCATGAAAGTAAGAATATTCACTAAGTTTGTGAATTTTGGGAGGGATCAGGCAGGGAGAAAAAGCAGTTGTTTCATTTTTGCTGACAAAGATGTATTTTGCCTAATTGCTCTAAGTTATAGACAGCTTAAGAAAAAAGAGAAGTAGTTCCTTAAATCTGGAAATAGAACCAGCAATGTTTCAAAACCAAACCTGTAATTATCCTTTATCAGTTCTTCCAATCTCATATAATTGTTTTTCTGCTTGATCTTGGGCTACTAGTTTCATAAAGCCACCAATTCCTTCATTAGAGTTCTGGAAATTGTTAGTCCAATGACATGCTTACCAGTGCGATATCAGAAGTTATCAGAAACCTGTACTTATAAAAATGTTTTCCATGAACCTCTTTGAAGATGAAGCACTTCCAAATTTTAACTGTTTGCAAAACCTTTCAGGAACACATTAAAGTAAATAATAACTGCCTGTGAATGAGAAATGACTTAGAATGGTCATGGTTAAATTTAAGAAACAAAAAAAAAGGACTATCAGTGTAGCTCAGTGCAAAGGCCATGGGTTCAATTCTGAATACAAAAACAAAAAAAGTTTTTTTCCAGGGAGAGCCAGATACCATGCTGAACCTGTAGTCCAAGTTACTAGGAGATGTCAAGCAAGAGGATTACTTGAGCCC